TCTTTAATTTTTATGAAAATATGTGCAAAAAAATAGAAAGATAATATAATTCAAAAAAGATAAAAAGATAGAAAGTGTGCTACGGTAGACCATGCCAAACAAGCTATATTTTTCAATAATAATTTGTAAATTATATAGATGAAAAAAATATTGTCATATATTTTACACGAAAATATATATTTTACGTTATTTATTTTTGTATTTTCACACAATCTGCATTAGTTCAATTTATTTAATCTTACTAAAAAAAATTTAATGCAATTGTATTAAAATTATAAGACTTATTATATATTTTCCAAATCTCAAGAACAATCAATATAATTTATAGAAAAAATAATAATAAGTTACATACTTACACTAATTTAGTTGTTGATTTTATATAATAACTAGCAGTTGCGTGTTATTTTTTTTCATAAAATATTTGATGGTATAATGTGTTTTATAAAATAATAATTTTCATTATTTATATCACTGCATAAAGTCACTCACTCCATCACTGCACAAAGTCACATGCATCACATGCATTACTGCACAAAATCACATAGCATCTGAGGAAAAAACAAAGCATACAATTTATTACGTCTGTAAAAGTCATTGCATCATTGAGAAATGTTTGACGTATCACTACGCCAAGCTACAATTTATTATCGTACCATAGCTACTGTGCCCATGTGAATTTTTGCAATTCAGGATGAGGGGGTGTCAGAACAAAACAACAAAACAATTAGACCCTTTGTGTTTAAAAAGCCACCACACGCAGCTCCAAATATGTTCATATACCTTGAAGATAAAATATTATAGAGTTAGAATGTATTGAAGATTAATTTGTAGTAGAGTTAGAATGAATGGGTTTTTCGATGTATAGAACTTGAAAGTGTTACAGATAAAAGCTAGCCTAGTATGCAGATAAGAACAACACCGACTTAAATCAACACATAGTTTACTAAAAATTTTAGAGAAATTATTAAAAAGTAGTTCAAAGAGATTTTAAGAGTAGTTAATACAGCACCAATTCAAGAAAATAAAGGAAGCGGAACAAGTTAAAAGATATCTGCCAAGCCGAAGAATCTAAACCCCATCATGTACATCTAAATAAGCTCACAATACTTATAAAAGATAAAGAAATTAAATTGAAATTAAATTGGTTAAATTTCTCTAATTAAATTAAATTAAATATGTAAGGTGAAAAGTGAAATTAAATATATTGTGAAGGCAAAATAAATTGAATTAAATTTGTAAACGGAAAAGTGAAATTAAATTTCTAAGCGGATTTGAACTTTGCTTAAAACCTTCAAATATGTACTGAGTAGTCAATAAAAGTCGAAGTAACAACTCCTATAAAGTTGATGCATAGTTGTTCAGGTCATAAAGGTTGACGTGACAACTCTTTTACAATAATTTTAAACATATAGCTACCATGTGAACCTCCTAAAGTATCAGTACTTCATTATTGTCATGTGAGTTTAGAGTTTATAAGACATGAATACTTGCGTCCATCTCTATTTTGAATTTGTGCATGTTGCAACAACTGTGCATATGTGGTATAAATATTGCATCATACCACAACAAAAGTTTTATAGATATATCGAGTGATATCATCATGAGATATACGGTGGTTAATCTATATTCAGCAATGGGTGGCCATTGGACTGCAGATGGAGATGAATTTCAATACCCATTAAATCCAAATTTGCATTACTCACATGCCCCCATCAATACCATGAGAGCTGAATGGGAATTTCGCATAACTCGAGCAAGCGTTCTCATTGAGCTATGTCGTGAAGTTAATATTAAATTTCCTTGCCGGTTAGCTAAAAATATATGTTGGCTTTTTGGCTTTTGAAGGTTATTTTTGTAATTATGAGCGTGCCAGCAAGGATCAATCAGTCCTTACAGAATTGTAATTGCCAACCAATTATTCAAACGATTGTGTTATGGTTCTTTTAGCCTCAATAAAGAGGACTTTTACTGGTGACTTACTAGTAGCTTGACTTCGGAGAATTTGAGCATAAGAACAGTTAAATAAATTGAAGCATTTCATTAGTATGAAGACTTACAATGATCTCAGCTTCGTAGAGATTTACAGCGGTAATATACTCGAAAATTACTCCTACAAATGAAGTGCAGTGCAGGAACTTAAAGTACAGAAATGCAAAGAACAGGAAATAAAACTGGAATATGTAAAGTAAGACTAGTTTTCTTTAAATTTTTCTCCATCCCCTTCTCTGAAGTCCTTCCTGCTATTTATACTCTCCGAAGATAACCATCGAACTGTATTTCAAACCGTCGAACTGCTCCTCCGTGATCGCTGATCATGTTACCTTATAAGTAGTTCCACTACGCCTTCACTTGCAGTTAGGCTTCCCTCCTATATTCGAATTTGAATGTGAGCAACCGTTGAAGTCACGTCACCGTACATCTCTTTGTTGATCCGCTGCTACTCAGATCTTATAACAACCAATATTAACTGCCACGTGTATGATCAGGATCGAAGACCTGACTAGTCTCCCCATATTACCCTTACTTTGCCACGCGTCGAATTGTCACTGGCTAGCACAAAATATGTAGCCAACAGTAATATTTTTGATATAATATTTAGGAAAATGAGTGGGAGCACCAATTAGTATCATCACTAATGATGTGGCAGTGGGTCCCACCCACTGTCACAATGTTGTTGTGTTTGTTTTTTGTTTTTTTTTTTTTAAAAAGTGAATGCCACATCATTAGTAGTTGTTTTAGAGCACAACTTTTAGTGGTCTCTAGTATTGCCCAAATATTTATCATATAATGAATTTCACTATTTTTTTTAGTTTCACATAATAAATATAATGACTCCGCTACGTAGCTCGAAAGGCGAGACTCGAGAGTGGCTCGAATTGATGAATTTGCTAGTCTGCTACGCGGGATACACCCACAATTGTTTTGATTTCAAAAACAAGAAATAAAAAAATAAACGAACAGAGCGGAGTAATGTGTAGAGAGAAAGCTAAGCGCTTCAAATCCACTAATTTCTACAAAAATTGAAGCCAAACGTAAACCCTAACAAATATGATTTCAGGTTTACCTCAGATTGCAGGCTGTCGTTCGTCCTCCGTCGTCCTCCCACGTCGTTCGTCCACCGTCTCGTCGTCCTTCGTCCACCGTATCGTCGTCTTTCGTACTCCTTCAAGAGACAGGTGAGAGAGGCGAGAATGAAGAGATAGAGAGGAGAGAGAGGCGAGAGTGAGTGAATGAGAGAGATGAGGCCAGAGAGGTGAGAGGGATGAGGCAAGAGTGACTGAATCAGAGGGAGGGATGAGGCGAGAGAGGTGAGAGTCAATTTGTTCAAGGTGGTATATTTGTACTTTCGAGCTATTCGAGCCCGCAATATTCAAGCTACGGATCATTTTCGTAAATATAATAGGTGACTCTAGACAAACGTTCATAATCTTACAAAACAAATTAAAATTTTTCTTTTTGCATTTTATACATTAACAAATATTATTTAAATCTGCAAGGTATACATATGTACATTTTGAAAATATTATTGTTAAAAATACATAAAATAGATTACATAATCATTTTTAAAAAAATATAACAAATAATTAAAATTCAATTCAATTATGATAAAATTCACATTAAAAAAATACACTTTTTTTGTATGATCTAATTCATTTTTTTTTTAAATTTAAAACCATTAGTATCATTTTTAATTGTACCACAAATCTTTACATGTCTTTACAAATATTAATTGTATAGTGTGGTATTTTTCCTACATGTACGTCAGTCATTGTTCAAATAGATCACATATGATCAAAGTTTTATTTTTGTCAAACCAATTAATTTGACGCTTGACCGTGTTGTACATTAGATTAATAAAAGAGTGTTTTGAGAAGATAATTAAAAGTTGATTTTTTAATTTTTTTATATAAAAAGTGATGTGACTTAAAATAGATAAAAATATGACTTTTGAATTTTTTTTTTTTTTTTTTTTTTTTTTTTTTTTTTTTTTTTTTTTTTTTAAAGCCTCAAAAGCAAATTGATTGCTCATCAAAATTTTAATTTTTTATTTGTTTTTCATTGTCTGTATTAATTTTGAAAGTTTTTATACCAGTATAAATTGAATTGATCAAAATATTATATTTAAATATTTTTATAATTTAATTATTTAAGCTTTAGAACATATATAACTAATAACACATGTTTTGTAACAAAAATTAATGAACAAAGTATTTATAGAACAATTGTCATCAATTTTCATTATTTATTTTCAACATAAGATTTTATAAATTTTTATTAATATTGGGAGAATATTTTTTCTTTACAAAATCAATAAAATCAAATCACTTAATCCTAACCGAATGAAACTATTTATTAGCCAAAAAACTAGAGATTCTAAAATTTATACCCAAATATTTTGGGTATGAAATTCACATCTACTTGGGATTTATAAAGTCTTTTGACAAGTTAATTAAAATTTAGTTTTTAATTTATTTTGAATCACATTAGCATTGATATTTTTTATTCACAAAAATATAAGAAAGTCAAAAAAAATTAAAAAGTTAACTTTTAACCAACTTTCTATATTACTCTTATATTTATATAAATATTTGTTAAAAAATAAAAAAAATTCAAACTCACCTTTCACTCATTATCCCTAATAATGTGAAATAAATTTCACACTTTACTTTATTTGTTTATTTTTTATTTATCGCTCTTCTATTTTATAAAAATTAAAATTAAAATAATTTATTAAAAAATAGAACACTACTCACTCTATTTATTTATTTTATCTTAGCATTACTCGAGTTGGCGCTGGTGTAAGTAAATACGTGAGCACAATAAATTCCAAGATTGTCAACATTACCACTTTTGTCGTGTAGCGAAGTTGGCGACCTTTTCATTTGCGTAATTTGCAAAAGAAGGTGGGGCTAAAACCGTCATTTAACACACGCTATGATAAAAATCCCACAATAAAGAATGAAGTAAAAAATGAGAAGAAGGGTGTAGGGTAGGTATAGGATAGGACAGCTTTGTAGAGTAACACTCCCCCCTCCCTCCTCTCTCTCTTCTCTATCTCTACATATCTCTTTCTGTTTCTCTATCTCTATATCTCTATTATATGTCTATCTCTATCTGTATTTTTTTTTTCTTCTCTCTCTCTCTCTCTCTCTCACGCATATTCACAGAGGGGGAGGTGAATCGTGCTGTTAATGGTACAAACCTGCTTTTTGGTGGAGAGAAGAACCTGATGCCCCTTTTGATGTGTGAGTGGGTGGTGCTCTTTTCTTAACTGTAGATCTCTCTCTCTCTCTCTATCGCTTCTTGGTTTCTAGTCTCTGCTATATCCGATATTTGCTTTCTTTCTTGGCCTCATTTTTCTCTCCCATTTTCTCACAAAAGAAAATCTTTACAGGAAGGTGAAGGTTTGTACTACTGGGTTCGACTGATTTTTCATTTTTGGGTTTTGTTTCTCTTGATCCAACCTTTTTCTTGATTTTTTTTTGTCTCTTTCTTTCCTTCAGATTTTCTCTCTTTTGTGGGTTTTGTTTGCAGTGTGATCATATCCCAAATTTTGGGCGTCTATGGTTTTTTTTCTTCTTGTTTTCTGAGTATGTATACGTATGGAAGTTTGAACGATGAAGTTTCATGTGATTTCATGAGTCTCTCTTCGCCGTGTTTCTCGAGTCTCTCTCTCTCTCTCTCTTCAATAAATTAGTCTTTGATTTGTGGTTGCTAGGTTCATTTCACTGTTCATCAACTCGACCAAAGCTTCGATTTTAGGCTTTTTCGCTTCCTTCCAACTCTCTTAATCCTCTTTTAGTTAGCCGATTTCGAGCTTCTATTCGACCATATATCTGTATTTGTGTGAAATTCGTGTTAATATTGGGAAATCTTTTGATACTCCTCTTCTTCTTCTTGCTTTACGACCACATATTTTGTTACCTTTTATAGATTTGATTTGATTATTCAATGAAGTTAGCAAATGAATAGTGGGTTTTTAATCTACTGAGATATGCTTTGCAAATCACGTGTGGTTTTAGTTTTTTACCCACATAAAATAACGCTTCCTGGACTTTGATATTTAATTAAAGCCTTCGCTTATGGCTTTAATTCTGTGCCAATTTTGTTCTTTCCTTGTTCAATCAGGCTCTCAAAGAGTGTCTGATTGTGATTCAACATACTTGGATGACTTCAAATTTACTCATACCAAGCACATAAAATAACGTTATAGAGGGGTCTAGAATCTTCTTCTGCTTTGTATTTTTTATGGGTCTGTTTCAAAACTTCCTGATCTCATCTTATATTCTCTCTCTTCTAATTTTGCAGGCTGATGGGTGAAGAAAAGGGCCATCCTTGAAGTGGGTTGTTTTGAGTTTGATGCTCAGTGGTGGTGGTGGTGGGGCTTGGAGTTTGGGAGAGAGGCTTAGCTATATTGTTATGCTGACAAGGTCTAGTTGTGGAGGAGATAGAAGTTCTTGTGACTGTTGTGGGCAAGACAGCACAAGAAAGGTGAAGCTTATCATCAGATGTTATCCATTGAAAACCCTCCACCAGATCCCCCATGTCCTTGCGAAATCTCTCACCTGAAAAGTTGCAGTGATGAGAGGGCTTCTGATAAGGTTGCCTTGCAAGAGGTGGATCTGTTGAAGTCAGGCCTTGATAGCTACAACCCACTCCCCAAATTCTCCATTAGGTAAATAATAAACATATCTTCCTCTTTCACTTTTGATTGTTTTGTCATCTCTCTCTTTCTCTCTCTCTCTCTGCCCTTTCCAAACCCTTTTCTGGGTCAGATCCACTATTTCATGTTGGTGATTTTGATCTATCTATTGCTTGATTTCAGCTTATGGAGCAGGTTGTGGTTTCAATTTGGCTTTTGAAAATTGAATGGCTAATTAAAGCTCTTAATTTGTTTGTAACCAACTTAAAATTTAGTCAATTTGTTTTATCTCCTCTTTCTTGATCGTCCTTTTCTGTGATTTCATGTGTTACTCTGGTTGATACTTCTATGGTTAATGCGTTTTTGGCACAAATTCCATGAGGGTCTTTTAAAATCTTTTGCAGAGCTTTAATTTTCTTTTGTTTTTTTTCCAGAGTACAGCTGGGTTTTAGAAGTTAATGCCTTCGTCGTTGTATTTCTTTTTGTATGATTTATCTAAATCATCTGAAAAGAAGTTTTGGGTTGTGCTTGTGTTGCAGAGATTATGTGTTTGGTTCCAGGAGCAAGGATATCAAGAACAGTTGGCCATTTTCTCAGGAAAATTTGCAACTTTGTTTGAAGCATGGCGTGAAAGATTTGCTCCCGCCTTTCCAGCCTCTTGATTCTGTTAGAAACCGGGTTTTTGAGAGATGCGCGGTTGAAACTAGTCTGATTGGAAAGGAAAATATAAGCAATTTTGATGGGGAGCCTTCTGGGCCGAGCGATCATTTTGTATCCATGTCCTCTGATCACACCAGTTGTGACAAGAATCTAGCCCCGGATTGTGTAAATATAGGTTTGATTGGATCTGAAGCAGGTAAAGAACTTGAAAGAAATCAACCTCATTCTGAGATAAATTCAGTTCCTACTGATCTTGAAGCTACAGTTCCTCCTGTGTCCCCCAAAACCGAGAGCGATAGCACAAACCAACCACCGGTTAAGAAGTGTAGATTGATAGTGAAAGTGGGTAGTGGCGATCCTAGCTCAAACCAAGATACTTCAGCAAATTGTGTGGCAGTTCCAGATACAATGGCTTCGAATGTGTGCCCGGTTTGCAAGGTGTTCTCGTCCCCTTCCAATACTACCTTGAATGCTCACATTGATCAGTGCCTTTCTGTGGAGTCAACTGTCAAGTGGACCGCGAATTCTAGGGTAATTAAGCATAGAATAAAGCCGAGGAAGACAAGATTAATGGTGGATATCTATACAACAGCCCGACATTGCACACTGGAAGAGCTTGATAAAAGAAATGGGACAAGCTGGGCCACAAACTCTTGCTTGCCTTCTCGCGAAACTGTGGAGCGTTCTGAAGAAGAAAAGCAAAGAGTTTCACCGGTTAATTCCAAGGACAAGGGCCATGAACGCGCAGTTTATATTGATTCCAATGGTACAAAACTTCGAATTTTGTCAATGTTCAGTGATACATCATCAGTACCAAAATTAGAAGCAGATCCCGGTCCCAGAAAAAGCAAATTGCTCAAAAATCTCAAGAAAAGGCATCATGCTCAGAAACATCACAAATACCTGAAACTTGCTCCTCAGAGCAAAAAATTTTGCACTTCCAAGGCCCGGCGTATTTCTGAGGTATATCATTTTCTTACTTGCGTGTTTCTTTCTTTTACCGATAGTGATTATAGTTGATTTTCCTTTCCTTTAATTGTTGCATTATCTATATCTTGAAACTGAAGAAACTCTCCAGCTGGTGGTCTCAAACTAGCAATGGCATGTGAGAATAATAACAAATATTTTAAAACCATTGGAAGCTTAAACGAGCCAAATCTTTGAAAACACCTTATTTTACACGTGCACAGTAGCCTTAGCTTGGCCACGTATGTTTTGTTTTTGATTTTGCAATTTTATTAGTACGAGTTTACAGACATGTGGTTATTAAACTGTTGTTAAACAGGTTCATGGAGAATCTGGAGGGCGAAAAAGAAATTTTGCATCGGAAGAAAGTTGCAGGAAAGAGGAAAGACTGACACAGCCCTTCAATGCTCAAGATCAGATCAAACCGAACAATTCAGGAACTATAACGAAATGGGCATGCTCTAAACGGACTGGTCACTTGAAAAGGCGCAACCGTAAGGAAGGCCCTCAGCATTTGGGAGGTAACTTTAGGCAGGAATTGCTAGTTGAAAGTGATCAATCATCTTTAGGTGAGTCATACATGGAGAGAAGCCGTGTTCAAAAAACTCCAAACTCTTACGAGAGTCCACTTTCTTCTCCTGAAAGCAGCAAGAGAATGGAGAATTATTTGTACGAAGCGCCCATTAATGAATGTGATGAGCCGCCACCTGTGAGAAAGAGAGTTGTATTCAACTCATTTGGGTCTGGCAAGCAGTTGAGAAAAGACGGCACATCCGTGGATGGAAGTTTCAAGGATTTTGCAAGTAATGGAGAAAACTATGTTCCTTATTTTGGCAAGGAACTAGTTGAGGTAAACGACAATCCTGTAAACAATAGTTCTCAAGTTGTTTGCTCAAATCTGTCACGGAGTCATCGTGCATTCTCATCAAAATCCACAAAGTTATCTTCTTTGAGGAAGCGCATGTTGTCAGTCCAGCAGTTATCTCTGCCTGAATCCAAGTATAAGGTGAATAGGAAGTGTTTGTCCCGTAAGAAGTCTGGAGTGCGTTGCATGCCAAAAATAGATAAAGGGGTTGTGGCATTGGCTCCTGAAGGTGTTGAAAAACATGATTCTATGGAGAAGCATTTTGAAAGTCAATCTAGAATAGAAAAAATCACTGGCAAAGTCTCTCTTGGAAGAGGCAGTGTTCTGAAAATCAAAAAGAAGAGGCGAGCTTTTAGTATCTCTGAGGATGAGGAATCCATGGCTTTGCAATCTGCATCCGAGTATCAGGGTGATGAAGTACAAAATGATGATTTAGCAGATAGATCTGATGACATAAAATCCGGTGGAAAAGGGATTCAAACTCATGGGGACAATATTGTGACTGGAACATCCTCGGTATTGGATGTTGGGCGAAATGTTGCGAGTTTGAGCAAATCGTTGGTTCCGGACTTTCACAAGCTGGCTAGTCCTTCCAATGCCGTAACTGGGTCATTGCAATCTGCTGTATTTAAGAGGTCTTTGTGTGGAGTTGAAACACCATCATGTCCTACTGATCCAAGTTTGGGTGATGAACAAGAGATGTTTTGTGTGGATGAGGTTGGCAATACTATGATAACCCAAAAGACTGATATGGGGGCAGAAATGGATTCTAATGATGGGCAAAGAAATTACTTCACTGAGGTTGATCCAATACCTATTCCAGGACCACCTGGATCATTTTTGCCGAGTCCTAGGGATATGGGTTCAGAAGATCTTCAAGGCAATTCATCATTAACCACGAGCTTGGTTCAAACCTCTGAAGATCACCATGATCTGGTTGATAGAGATTCATCAGATTCTCCGATATCTGCAATGTCAACCATTTCTAACTCCATGATTGCAAGATCTGGTTCAAAATCTTCAGAAAGACTGTCTGTAGGACCTCATGTCACTCAAGATGAGATTACTGCTCGAGTTCCTCATCCAGTGACTTTACAAGCCGAAAGAGTCAATCCAGATGAATTGAAAGTCAACATGATCGTCCCCGAAAAGGAACCTATCAGTTTCAGAAATGATCAGCCATGTTGTTGCTTGCGGAAGGAGGGAATGCCTCGGGGTGTTTCTTTAAATTATCAAGAGTCGCAACTTCTGAGAAGACGGACCATGGCATCATTGCCCATTCCTGCCATGGGAAAGCAGCTGAGTTTGAACATGCCTGAAGTGATTTCTTGGGGCAATTTCCCTAGTTCAGGATCAGAAAAGGTGGTTTTCCCTGTCACGAATTCAGTTGTAGCTCCCGTTTCTGTAAAAGTTGCTGCTGATTCTACGCTTAAGTCCCCAATTTATGGCGATTGTGATTCTGCTAGTCCGTCTGCTTCCAATCCTGTTCTCAGGTTGATGGGGAAAAATTTAATGGTGGTCAACAAAGAAGAAAATGTTTCCCCACAATTTAGACCAGCCCAGTCAGGTTCTTTGAATGACCATCCAAATCTGCAATTCCGAACACTTTCTGGAGTCTCTCCTGGCAATATTCAAAGTGAGGACTCACGTTCCTTTCATCATATGGCCCATCAATACCCTCCCACCTCCAGCCAGAACCAATTCAACACAGGTTTTCAAGTCGAGCTGCCAAACAATTTTGGAGGTCATGTTTCTCATTGGACATCACAAATATATTCTCATGCTTCTGCAGGCACGTTTTTACACAAGAATGTGGATGGTGGTTTTGCACCATCCTTGGAGCTGCATGAATACAAAGTTCGATACAGTTTGCCTAATGATCAAAACAGATCCAGAGACGGACTGTATACTCCTTTGGCATATAATATGGAAAAAGTTGCAACAATTTCAGATACCCAACGCATGCTTTGCAGATTCTATAACCAATCCTGCGAAGGAGATCATCGTCATTGACGATACTCCTGAAAAGGATGCTGATGTACCATATTCTGAAGGCATGAAGGAAAGTCGGGTAAGTTCAGCTGGCATTTCTATTCCGATGGCTGCAAATTATCACTTAAGGCATGTGAATCCTTTTTATAGTTATCAGCCACAGGATTCTTCTCCCTACAATGGAGCGAGCGCAAGTCCAATTAACTGGAATTGTACTTCGGAAGGTTCCAATGTCATCATTCCTCCGAGTTCTCTAATGGCTTCATCATCATCATCCTCAACAGGTCATCTGCGTTCTTCATTGTATTATTCTCCGAACTTTTCATAACCCACAAGCTTTGCTTCAACTTCTGCATCATCACATGTGCCATACCGGGTTTCGCATCAAAAATTGTGCTGAGACTGCGCATAGTTCTTACTTGATGGACTGACATCGATTTCCAAATGGCATGAAGACTGGTGGTTTCATCGCAAAAACCTTCAAAAAGTTCAGCAGATGAGTGTTCTTAATTGCGTTGTCTTTGATAAAGTGACTGCTAAATTATATCATATGTAAAACTTGGTAGTTTTAAGCAGTTTTTTGAGGCTTCTGCATAGACTAATGTACAAGCAAAGTTTAAATAATAAATTACCCTGAGAAACTTTTTTCCCAATACATGAAGAATGTTCATCTTTTCAACCTACTTTTGTTTTCGTGTTCCAATACATGAAGAATGTTTATCTTTTCAACATACTATATAACTGCTTTTGCTTTTTGTTTTTGGTTTTTTTGAAGTGTTTTTCACTTCTAGTATTTGAATTACAACTATTATTTTGTTAGTTATGCTCTTTTTATTTTTTTGCTTGTATACCATATGGTCTATGGTGGTTATTGTATACCAGCAAAGTTATATATGTATATATTTCTAAGTCATTCATGAGTGTTATGGCTATCTGGGTTTGGGAATTAGTTTGTAATTTTTTTTTTTTGGTCAGCACATGAGAGGTCGATGCCATTACGTGTGCTGTTATCTGTATGGGATTCATGGAATAATGGTCGGGATAAATCTAGGGCCTCATAATTAAGGGGCACATGTCTGGTTTTGCTGACATGACCCGTGCCGATCACTTGGCCAAGAATTGCACAGTGATGGAGCCATGACCACAACAAATGTTTGTGCTGTTACTACTTGTAGGTTAGATGTACTTATTTTGTAGGTCAATTCTGTGTAGGGTAGACATGAAAAAGAACAATCTTATGTATTTATCACATTATAACCGTAAAGCACTTAGTATCACTGAGATTTATGTTCATTTTATTTTTATTTTTATTGTTGGAGATCAATAGAGACCAGATAGAGAACTTGCAAGAGGTTGATGAATCAACCTAGGTTCATGGTTCCCTCTTCTTAAAGAGAAGGCTTGTAATATTGTATGTAGTGGAAAGTGACAAGTTGAGTCTTTAACTTACAAAACCCAAAGTTGTTAAATAAAATTTCAAAATCTAAGGTTGTTTTAAATTATTTTTATGAAACACAACTTCAGAGTTGATAAAAACTTAACAACATAGGAGTAACCTTTACAACTAGCTAGTAGGTCACGGACTCGCACAACGGTGGAAATTCACACTCACTCTCCAGACACAAGGTATAGTTTGTCGAATTCTTAAAGTTGACCTCAAAACTTGAACAATGAGTCGGGATTAACATCAAAGTTCTCTGGTTGAGGTAAGTCTTAAATTAAAAGTTGATATCGTGTTTTAAAAATACAATTTAAAGAGAATGAATTAGTTGAAAGTGTGTTTTAAAAAGCATGACTTCATAAAAACGAGATTAAGTTGAAAAATAAGCTCCAAAAGAAGTTCAAAATTTTTTGAGTTTGGTAAAAACCTCTTTTGCATAAATTTACATGAAGGGTCAACTCAAAATGATATTTAGGACCCATCCTGCCTTCGAAACCATGTCGTATTATACTTATTACTATGCTTTCTCTAAACTTAATTTTCTTCTTCTTTTTTTGTTTGGGGTGGTGTTCCAAAATGCACAACACATATATGTATATATAACTCCATTAGAGCATGAAACAAGCTTTTATCATCACATGAAATATAGCCGTTACAAGATGATGTTACGAGTAGTACGGACTTGCGTTGCGTTGCGTGTGTGTGTGTGTGTGTGTGTGTTTGGGTGGGTGTTTTCGTGTGTGTATGATATAGAGAGAGAGAATGAGGAGAGAGAGAGAGAGAGAATGAGAGAATGAGGAGAGAGAGTGGTGGTCAAAAAGGGGAGAGTACAAAAACAGGGTAACAGAGACCGTTGGATTGCCAATATCTTTTGGTACTGTATTAATTTGAGACTTTATTGCTTGCTTTTTAACTCCATTTCATGTGTGTTATTTTTATTTATTTATTAATCTTCTAAGCTTCTGAGGAGAGTATCATGTTTATTTTTATTTTTAAATTTTGTTTTTTGAGGAATCTTTACCTGTCATTTGACTCATTCTTATATAAAGTACATTTCTTATACTTACAAATAAGATGCAAAGCGCGTCATGCTAGAGTTCATTCTAAATAATATCAAGGGTGGGAGAGGTGGTGGACAAAAAAATTGGGATAAAATAAGAACAAATTAATTTTGCAATATTAGAAAATTAAGATAAGAGGTAAACTTCTTGAAAAAATGAGTATTAAGTATAATCTATATATTATATAAGGAAAATAAAGTTTTCAATGAGAAGCGTTCTAAGAGTTTCTTATTCTAAAATTATTGATTTTTCAATTTATAAAATAAATTAAAAAAAATTATTGACTGATTTATTTATTTAATTATTTTAGAAATAATAATTATCCCTTAATTTATGGATTTCAAATGGAAAGATAACAAAAATATTTCATAATCTCTCCATCTTAATCTCTCTTATCGATTTCCAAAAGAAAATATTAAAACTTATTTTCCTTCTCTCTCTCCCAAAAAAATCAAATAATTTCTTTCACGAGAGTTGTGGAATCTATATCTTATATATTATATTATAACACAACAAAACAAAATTAAAAATTAAAAATCACGTATACAAATAGATAAAATTAATAAATATGATTTTTATTTATTCAATTAAAATCTTTATTTTTTTGAGGCATAAAATAATTTAAATATGATTTTTCAAAAATTATTTTGAATTTAAAAATTACAAAAAAATATTTAAATATAATAAAATTAAATTTCTACAAAATAAAAGTATCTGTATAAAAAAAAAGGTATGAAAAAAAATTTAGAATGATATTCTCGTTTGATCTGAAAATAATTATAGATGACCAATAGATTATCACCTATAACCCTCATTTTTTTTAAATAAAAAAAAGATATTTAACAAACCATCACTTTTATTAAAAAATAACATTTATTTCTATTTATTTTGGCAAAACTCACTTTTTAGCAATTTTAGCCAAAAAATTTTCATTTTTTATTTTAGTTTGTTTAATTAACAATTGAGATTAAAAAAAATTTAACAGGATCCACTATATTTCGCAAGTGCCAAAAAAGTCTAGATGAACAATAAGAAAAATATTTGAGACCCAAAAAAAAAAAACTCACAATTGTATCCACAATGATGTACTATCATATTTGTCAACTCTTGATTTGCTATATAAACAATGATATGGGGCCCAACTCCCTTGTCACATCATTGCGGATGAAAGTGTAGGCCTGCAGCATTACTGGAACGGTAAATTATTACATGTAACTCCCATTTTCTTTTTTTATTATATAAAAAAAATAAGTTTCACCAACTATCACTTTTAATATATATATATATATATAATCAGGATCCCCTCCTTGAAATTCCTCATTGACTTTCTACTTGTTAGGTTATTGGGCCCACTTTTAGGCCCAATTTTGATTATCCGAACCGTTCACATTTTAAGATTTATTGAGTATATCATATCTGTAAAAAATCAAGTTGATCGGATATTAGAAAGCATGTATTCGGAAAACTGTTTATTAAATTTAAAAAAAAAATAGTTTTTAGTTCGATGATCCGAACATATGCTTTCTGATATCTGATCAACTTGATTTTTTACAGGTATAATATACTCAACAAATTTTAAAATGTGAACGGTTCAGATCATTGAAATTAGGCCTAAAAGTGGGTCCAATAGCTTAGTAAGTAGGAAGTCAAGTAAGAAATTCAAGGAGGAGATCTTGATTATTTAATAAATATGTATATATATATATATATTTATTTATTTTTGATTTTAGAAAAAGTCATTTCTTAACTATTTAGGCCAAAAAAATGTTTAATTGACAATATAGATAAAAAAAAAAAATTCATTATATTTGACAATTGTTAAAATAATCATTCATTTTCTTAATATTTTTGTATTTGGTTAAAAAAAATATTTGTATTAAAAAAATTTATTGTCTAAGTCCTTATAGTTTAGAAGGATATAATTTTTTTTATAAAATTTAAAAACAAAAATAAAAATATAAACATTTAATAGTGATTAATAATTTGAATACGTGTATTTAATAACGTATTATGCTTAGACCAGTAATCTTATGACACATCATTATGACACATGTAAATATTGATCTCATTCTAATTGTAGTAACATAATTTAAATTTAAATTTTATTTTATAATTTAATAAAAGATTCATAAATTAAGGAATGAATATTGATCTTATTCTGGTAACATAATTTAAGAAAAAAAATCTAAATTTAAAATTTTATTTTAAGAGTATAAAATTAATTTATAAACCAATCATATTGTGACACATATTAACAAAAATTAAACAAAATCAAAAAAAAGAAAAGAATTGTAACTTTAATTTTTAATAGAATGATAACGTTTTTCAATTATAATAGTATATAGATTTTGAAACCATTACAATATCTCTTATTGAAAACATTCTTTTGTAAAATATATAATTAATCTCGACGTCAGTCTTATTGCTCCTGAATACAAAAATTATGAACTAATTATGATAATTTTAAATTTTTATTTAAAACTTATAAATCATGGGATATATTATTATAATTTTAAATTTATATTTGCCAATTTTAAATTTAAATTAATAGATTTCTTTCCATATTTAGTGACTCAAATTTGAATTTTGGAATGTATACTTTTCATTTTTTTTTTTAGATTATATTTTCCATTTGAAAGTCATAAATCAATGTATATTAATTTTTATTTATTTATTTATTTTTGCTTGAATAAGAGCTAGCCAATAGAAGATTTTTTTAATTTTTAAAAATCAAAATATTATGAAATTTAGATTGGAAACTTGGAACTCCCACAAGACTTGTGGGTTAGAACCTCATTTTTTTTTATATATAATATATAGATACATTTAAAAAAAATAGAAATCACACAAAAATAAAGAAGATAAGAATTTAGATATGGATCTTAAAAAGATATAAAAATATTTAAATTTAAATTATGATTTAATGATATAATTATCTATTTTTTTATTATTTATATTTATTAAAATTTTAAATCACTTAATGAGACAAATTAATTAATTTTCAAGTCTTATTTAAAGAATAATCTGATTAGTCATTCCAACTCCTAGACTTCACGAACGCTGGTGGAGGAGCTGACAAATTAGGCCGGGCGAGATCTAAGTTGTTAGCGGTGACATCCTATTACTCCATAAATTTATTTATTTTTTAATTTTCTTTTTTTCCTTGTGTGATTATCTTTCT